TAACTAGTCTATTGGAACAATTCATTACCATTATTCTCAAACGTTAAAGTAGTAGCGCAATGGATGCAAGAGAAAACTTGCTGAAATTGATTGTACATCTTTCCTACAGCAACAATTCGAACGAAAAATAATTTGAAAATAGCTCCAGAAGTCTTTTAGTTCAAATTGTATGTTTTGTTATGTTTCAAGGTATTCCATTCAATCATTCTCAATTTACGGTTTCATAAAACTGACATGCATACAAAGATAAGACTACCGTTCAATGGGGCATAAAAATTTTTAGTTAAACTTTTATTTCGATCGCCAAAATTTGACGGACCAAAAAAATTATCGTATAAACGTTTGTTGTATAATGTTTGAAGGGTGGATCTAAGATTATCTAATTTCTGTTCACACATTGTCCTCTGTATAGTACCTTACTGTTAAATTTTTGTTGAGAAGGATCGATTGTAAAATGTAGTCAAGGCAATTTCTCGGCGAATGAATAATGTCAAGACAAAATTTCATGTTTTTGTCTAGTGACTTCTAGTTTGAGTAACATCACGCAGAAAAATAATTTCTGCAAGGCAATTGTAGCAAGGAGGAATGAAAGATCAAACCTTGGTGTCGCATACTTCGCGTAGACTTTAAGCTGATGCTTCAAATTGATTTTGTACCTGATCTTAAAAGTAGCTCTGGGGGGCAAATAAGACAAGTCTGTGGGTTTGTTTGGAACATCTGCTGGAAGCCCACGAGAAACCCAAAAATAAGTAGAAGATGTGCAAACCTGCAACTTTTTTGACCAAGAAAACTCGTATTTTATAACGTTCTTAGAGCTTAATATTGTCAGAATTTGTGATATTCATATCGAAAAACTTCTATGATAGCACCTTCGGTCGACCAGGGAAAATTATATTTCGAAATTAGAGTCAAAATTTTTGTTGCTAACTCAGTGTTCTGACCTTTGTTTTTTGCTACGAACTCCCAAAAATCAAAAAGTAGAAAAATCTACAAAACAGCCAGGGCCGGATCTACGACTTTTACCGAAAATTTTATCTATCTTTATCTAGGTCGACTAAATTGATTTTTCGAGCTCTCCCACATCACTAAAAGTCCCGTTTTGGCCAAACTTTCTGCGCTGCAGGCAAAGTTTTCTGTTCTGTACAGTTGGAGATCAAAGATCTAACGGACATGTAGAAAGACTTGTATATACTAAGAAATCTTAATTATTAGCCATGTCATTCGAGTTGCCAAAACCTTCTGCAAATTCCTTGACCGAAAAAATTATTTGAAACTTCAAACTTAGAAAACAACCTTCGATAGAATGCACCCCCTCGAGAAACATTTTAATAGAACTGCAAACGCCAGATGGAAAAATTGATATACTTCGATAACCGATTAGATAAAGTAAAGTTTATCTTATCAGACCAACAAGCCAGGAATTAGGAAATTCACGACGAGGCAGAAAACGGCTACATGGATGCTGACACGGAAGCTCAGACAGACAATCTACCGTTAGCCCTATCCCACTCGGTGACTCCTCCGCCGGACCTGTCAAGACCCGGCAAAACCGCCGAAACTACGAAAAAGTTGGCCTCTGGAAGTAAATATTATAGAAGGGCGGCTAGCAGGAAAATTGGGGAACCCGATTTCAACTTGGTAAAGGAAATATCATCTAATCCTCTGATTATACAATTACGCTCAATAACGGTCGCATCTTGTGTAAATCCGACTTAATTTTCAAAGTAACATTGTTCGCCTTTCCCAAGAATATCGCATTGAAACCCATTGGGCAAAATCTTACCCAATCTTTGAGTTTAGCAGGAAAAAGGAAGCTGTCACCTCTGATGAAGTCCATTGTGAGAGACACCACTCGTCTCAAGCAGGGCACATCCAAGACGGCCCCAATTATAGGTCCCCATCAGCCGACCACAGAACTAGTAGTGATACAAGAGTGTCCGCAAAAAACCTCAGGCTCTTCTTCTTCTTCTCTAAACCTAATGTCATGGGATGGGATAATCAAAGACTGTTTCGATGGCATATCAAACAATAACATGCCTTTAGTCAGGACGCCGTGGCAGGGCCTAACCATGAAATAAAGGTTACAAGTGGCGAATCTTCACTCCCAAGGCCCAAATATCCGAGTGGACCAGCGGTTACTCCCTCAGGATTAGACTATCATAAATTTTGCTCGGGGCTGGCTTCAAAAAAGGTCTGATACAATTGGTCAGTACCCCGGAAAATCCTTCCCAGGTGGAACACCAACCAAGACCGTTTAGACTTCGAAGAAAAGTGGGCGCTCCTAAATTCTTCGGTGAACTTCGGTTATATCTAAAACGTGCTGGAAAAGGAGGACACAGTCACGGACGTAAAAAAGTTAGATGACGGATCACATTCTCCTCCGTTGGTCATTTTTTTTACATCTACCCTTTAGATTTTCTAAGGCCGCCAGTGGATCTCGCTAAGAGACACACTGGTGGCTATGAAACCACTCTATTTTGGTCTTCTCAAAAGTCTATCCCATCGGAACGAGTTGGTCAGACTCTGATACAAACTATCCTTTCAATATCACCTAGCGGATCCACAACTACACCCCAACTTCCGCCGGAACACCCAATTCAGGATGCCAATAGTTTTAGTGAAATCTCTTCAACGATTGACTCAGCACTCGAAAATTGCTTAGATGAATCTTATTCGATTTTCCATTGAAGATTCTCTGTCTTTTATTTGATTTTTTGCATTTCAATAATCTGATTTTGGACTTATTTTCAATACTTTTGTATTTTTTATGTACATTTTAGATGTACAGTCTGTGGAATAGATTTGTTTTCGATAGATTTCACCTTTGTAAATTCTGTACATTCACCCAATTTGTACATTTGTATATTCCAAACTTCAATTGTACATTTCATTATTTATTTTTGTCCTAGTTTTTGTTTATGGTGCATTTTGTAAATTTTGTTCCTACTTTGAAGGGGGAAACGGGTGTATATAGAATTAGTTTTAGTCAATTGTAAAATTTCAATTTTTTCTGGTGAAATGTTGTGATATGTATATCAATATGACCTTCGGTATTGACTAGATACCAGTCAACACATTGCATGATGCGACCATCGGTCGATCATTGCTAGTTTGTGATGACTAAGAACAAACATTTTAATTCACACTTCATTTTATATCTTATACTTTTTTTAAGTAATTGTACATATTCTCTATATAACTAACTAGTCTATAGGAATTTTTTGTTACCTCCTTTATTCCCAAACTGCAAAGTAGTAGCGCAAAGGATGCAAGAGAAAACTTGCTGAAATAGATTGTACATCTTTCCTACAGCAACAATTCGAACGAAAAATTTTTTGAGTTAGCTCCAGAAGTCTTTAAGTTTTCATAAAAATGACAATCATACAAAGATAAGACTACTGTCCAATTGGACAAAAAAATTTTAGTTAAAATTTATTTTTTCGACCGCCAAAATTTGACAGACCGAAAAAAATTTAACGTATGAGCCTTTGTTGTATAATATTTGAAGGGTGGATCTAAGATTATCTAATTTCTGTTCACACATTCTCCTCTGTATAGTACCTTACTGTTAAATTTTTGTGGAGAAGGATTGGTGGTTAAATGTAGCCAAGGCAACCCGAGTCGAGATTTTTCACCTAATTTGAAGCAAGATTTGAGCGGTTTGAGCGGTTTTTGTAGACAATTACGCTCAAAATCTTGCTTCAAAATGAGCGGTTTGAGCGGTTTTTGAACGGTTTATCTAAGAAAACCGCTCAAAAACCGCGCAAGATTTGAACGGTTTTGAGCGGTTTTTTTAGATAAACCGCTCAAAACCGTTCAAATCTTGCGCGGTTTTTGAGCGGTTTTTTTTAGATTTAATAATAAAAAGTCGACCACAGAGGGATTCGAACCCTCAATCTTCTGATTCGAAGTCAGACGCCTTATCCGTTAGCCCATGTGGCCCTGAAACTAGTGTCGCGCAGCGAAGCCAATATAAATTCTAATTCATGCTTTTGAAATTCCTGTGACAGTGATACGTACCTCGGCTCTTTTTCCTTTCCCCCCCACCTCACACGAGCTTTAATTTATTAGTGTAACGAGTGGTTTTACGAGGTTGAGTATGAAGACCAAATATCTTTGTCGTGGCCTTATTAGTCTGTATGTAAATTTTCATAACAATTGAACAATGTGGTCAACAAATTAGCATGTAAAAATTTGCAGGTGGGGGGAAAAGGAAAAGGGGCCCGTACCTCAGACCACAGGTATCCATAGTACTGTGCATCGCATGTGCGAAAGTATTGACATGAGTCTGGGACCTCCACCCGGGAAGACCGCTCAAAAACCGCTCAAATCTTGCTTGAAAAACCGTTTAAAAATCACCGCAAAAAATGAGCGGTTTTTGAGCGGTTTTTTAAGCAAGATTTGAGCGGTTTGAGCGGTTTTTCCAAAAAAAAAACCGCTCAAACCGCTCAAACCTTGCTGGAAAACCGCTCAAACCGCTCAAATCTTGAGCGGTTTTTGAGCGGGATCTCGACCCGGGAATTTCTCGGCAAAGGAATAATATCAAGACAAAATTCCTTAGGGTCCGTCAACAAAAATTGATATCTCAAAACCGTATGAAGGGGGAACCCTTTGGGACGGCAGGGGGTCGCACGTAAGTCTCAGAAGACAACAATGACCTTCATTTGACAAAATTTTCTGCGCAGCAGAGAAATTTTTGAAAAGCCGGTCAAAAAAGTTTTTTTTTGGTTTTTTTTTGGAAAATCGCGTTTTCGACGCGAGCTCCCACTCAAAAATAGGATAAATAAATATAATATTCTGAATGGAGTGGTCTTTTTGTTCAATCAAGTTATGGCGATCAAAATAATATTTTTATTCCAAAACTTCTTATACCTCATCAAAGTTGTTGCCTCGTTGAATTGCAATTGTAACTAGACATTTTACCTTTTAACCAGTATATTTTTTGTAAAATACTGGGGGTTTGACAATCAGCGGGATTTCAGTTTCAAATGATTTTCTAGTATGAGGAATTAAATAATTTTTTCAACAAGGTTAGAATTTACAACAAATAGATGATTATCTGAGGGCATATCTTCAATCACAGGTACTGAATTGAATTGTAGTTAATGTTTTCATTCAAACCTCCCGTTCTTAATTTTCCTTAGTTAGATTTCTTCTCGATTATTAGACGGCTAGCTACTTCCATCTTCACTCAATATGAACAAGCTCTTTATCTGGAAACTTGCGACAATTTTTTTGGTTAACGCAATTATTACTGTTACGTCAATTTACTCGGCTCAAGTTGGTCTACTTCTTCCTATGGACGCACACGAAAAAGGGCTCATTTTTATTTTCTATCTGTGATATACTGTTTTGATTTCTTGTCAATTAGGTTACTAATTGTTGTACTCTTATGCAAGCTTATCTAGGGTTTTCTCGAGGTGGGCAGGTTTTCAGAAAAATATCGAAATTTTTGTTGAGTTTTTTGTTTTGTAGGTCGACCAAATTGATTTCACGAGCAGTCTCAGAAGACAATAATGACCTTAATTTGACAAATTTTTCGGCGCAGCGGGGAAGGTTTTGAAAAAGCGGATAAATACGGCTTTTTGGAACTTTTTGAAGATCGCGTTTTCGACGCGAGCTCCCCCTCAAACTTAGTACATATTGGCGCCCTTAGAAAAATTTTAGGGTTGGTCGGCCGAAAAGGGACAACATAAAATAACAAGAAGGTACTCTTTGCTAGGTGAGGGGTCAGATATTTAAATCTGCTAAGCTAAGTTTGAGAACTTTCCTTTTTGTTACTCTTTGAGTTTTGTTGCTTTTATGTATTCTTAGCTTGGTGTATTGCGCAATAAAAACTTTAAAAGGATCTACATAGAGAAATCATGTTCAAAACGGCTAAGGAAAAAAGAACAAACGGCGAGAGATCCCCCAAATTTTTCTTCATCACACGTCGTCTAGTAAATTCTGGAAAAAGGTTAGATTATTGGATGGCGCTAAGTCTCTAGTAGGAACCGATCTATCAGTTTTAATGACAGAAATTTTTCAAAGGCGAACGAAATTGAATTTTTTTTAATTGTACAATACACCAAGCTAAGAATACATGAAAGCAACAAAGATCAAAGATCAAAGAGTAACAAAAAGGAAAGCTCTCAAGCTTAGCTTAGGTGCCTTTTTAAGCTTTATAGCACTCGAAGTGGAACACTGTATTGAACCGATAAAACCGTCGATGCGCGGTTCATCTCAAACAGCTTGGCCCGCTGGCTATTAGTTGTTTAACAAACAGTTTTAATCAATCTCTGTCTCTTAAGATTATCCGCCAAATATGGAAGAATTCAAAAGTAGCACCCTTCCCAAAACCTAACAAATACCTCAAACTCTCAGAATCCTACCGCCCCGTCTCAATTTTTAGTCCAGCTGTTTAAAACTTAGAATTGCTAATCCACCTAACCCTAACGAAACACCTACTAAAAACCGACCATCAACATGGCTTTTGCCCAATGCATTCAACCACCACGTCATTATCAGTCTCAATTTTTATCAATGACGGATTCAAACAACACAGGTCACCCACTAGAACACTTTTGGTCACCTTAGAACTATCCAAAGCTGTCAACATGGTCTACCATCGAACTCTCCTGGATCTTTTCACGGCTCCACCGTACCGGGTAGCTTAACCAGATAGTTTTTAAAATATCTCAGTGGTCACCAAGGAAAAAAATATATATTTTAGGGACGCTCTGTCTTTATCCAGGATTGTACGAACAGGTGTCCCACAAGGCTCAGTCCTAATACCAACATCATTCAAAATCTACGTTCACGATGCGCCATTATCTCCCCCTGAAGTTAAATTACAATCATACGCAGACAATTTCTACCCCTCTGTACAGTCAAACATTTTTCAAAAAGCCTCATCTACCCTATCAAACTACTTAACCAAATTAGGCTAGTTTTTTACGTCTAGATCTTTCGTATTTTTTTCCAAAAGGCTCCGCGGTCTCTTTCTCACGTTCAACAAGGAATTCAGCCATTACTGATTACCTACAAGGCTTTGGTCAGACCAATTTTACATTACGCATGTCAGCATGGTTCAATGCCGCCAGCTTAACGTCTTTAAACAAACTTCAAGTAGTTCAAAACGCCGCTCTCTGCAACATATAACGGGCTGTACAAAAGTGATTGCTCCAGAAAACTTACAATCAGAATGTGAAAATTTAAATGTTGAATACCATCATAAACTACTTTTTGCTCAATTAACCCTCAAAACTGATAGCACCTCAAATCCTTTACTTTTCATCACCATCACGCCCAGACCAGACTTTGCCAAAAAATCCGCCCATCAGGATATGGCCTATGTAATCCAGGATAAGAACATAGCCTCCAAGACACAGCAAACGCTTCTTTTACCACTTCAAATGATTTTAACGAACTAAGATCCTTTGCTTTTCAAAATTACAAATTGATTTTAAAACAGCTGTACCCTAAAAACATCGTTCAGATGCGCTTCCTTGGAAGTTCTACCTCTCAAAAAATGCAGATGCGCTTCCCTGGAATGCGCTTCCCAGATTACAGCCCCTTCTTGATCTCCTACTCAAATAGAATCGATCCAAGCATCCTTTTCCAACTGCCCCTTTTTTAGTTCCAAACATACCACTTTACACCTTTTCATTAGTTCTAAGAACACCACTACCTTGATTCCCATTGACTTGTGGTTACGGCCGACTGACGTTGCGAAGCCTCTGAAACTCGCTCTGTGCATTCCGGCCACGCCCCCTCGTGGTCGCAACAAACCCCCTCCGCGCCTAAATCCGCCCTTGCTCGTAAGAACATCCGTAGAACATTCCAAAAGAAAACTACGTTGCCCAATTACTTAAATTTACCTGAAAAGCCATAAAAAATCTAAAGGGCGATACTTGCGTTGTTTTTACTGTTTTCAATACTGATTAAAAAAGAAAATTTGCCCTAAAGGACTGACCAAGACTAACGTGGGCACTATTTGCGGATTTTATGACGGCACAGCTTTAATTCTGGGTCTTTTGATATCCAAATTTACCCACCTAGCAAACTGGAAAACAGTTTTCTGGGTTAGTTCTTTATTCTATTCTGTAGCTATCGCATGTTTTGGGGTGCTAACTTTCATCGAAGAAAAATGGACTTATATTGTCCTAAGTGTAATTGATCAAATTGTTGCCGGAGCTGCTTCTTGCTGTATACAAACAGTTATGCTCCCCCTTATGTTCGCTCTATTTCCCAAACAACGTGGTAATTTATCCGCTGCGATTCAAGAAGCATACGAAGCAGGGTCTATTTTGGGATCCTTAATTGGGGGATTTTTGTTCAATTTCGGGGGATATTTTGTGCCATTTCTGATGACTGGGGTATGTGGAATTGTAGTTACGATTCTATCGGCCTTCTTCGTGCTACCTCATAAAATACAACACGTCAACGAAACTGTGCAAGTGAACGAAGAAACTGGTAAGGAGTACATTCAATCTTTATTCTATTAAGTATGTAGGAGTAAAGAATCGCTGAATAAAATGGCAACAGCTAATTATGCTGAAAAGATTGAAATGAAAAATAAGATAGGAAAAAGTTTATTATTTTTCACTTTTAAAATTAAAATTCTTGAGTTAATTTTTTTCGCCACTTTTTTGGAGGGGAAGAGAGCCAAACTATCATCTTTCGGATTATCTTTTTTGATATATGGATTTTCTCTAGGTTCATTTAAGAAAGTTTAAATGATCATGCAACTGATTTGAGTTAATTGAAAAAATCTCTGATTTTATTTTCATTGTCCGCTAGAAATACCCTTTTCCTCAGAAAATTCGAGTAAATTTCTCCTCTTACTTCTTTGAATCATCCACTGATTCTGCCAAATCGTTTTAAGGAAAAGTAAGCGGAGTGTGACTCGGATTCCAAAAAAAGTTGAAAAGCTATTGATTAGTTTTGGTTTTCAGACCAGTTTTGTTTTGAGACCGACTGTGTGTAATGTTAATTAACGTGCTGTTCCGACTATTCTCGAAGGTTGGAACGGATATAATGATTAGGGTCCATTTTGTAACCAGTTCAAAACAAGTCTTTCATATAACCATTTATATTCTTAAAAACTATCGCTGTGAGATACTTAGAACTAACCAATCATGATCCATGAAAAAAAAATTTGTAAGGCTGAATATTTTATAGTTTCGGCCAGAGAGGTTAAATTTAAGTTTGAAAGCAGTTGCTCTCCCTCTCCTCTGACTTTGAAAGAAAACCGCTATATACTAGATCTATTGAGACTAGGAAAAATAGGATAAGTATTAGGACCGGTATTAGACTAAGAAGTTGCACGACTCTATCCGGCCGAAAATAAGATCGCAAAAAGACGATGTACCCTATCCGAAATTACTTAAAGAAAAACTAAACTCATCCCCGGACCTAAACTCATCTGGTGCGACCAAGCGAGTCTCGAGCAGACTTATACCAATTTATATATAGAAAACCAGACATAGATTAGACAGATTAAAATTAGATAAGAAAAAGATCATCAAAATGTTGAGGCAAATCGACAATAAAATTAGTTAATTTCCACATCTCAATAAATCTAATCAAATCAAGTCAATTTTAAAGCCGAAACAAGGCCACAAGACGAAAAAACAAATTTCTGCATTGCAAAGCGAAAAAGCAGACTACGAGGATTATCATTTTGGTTTAAATTTGCAATGAATAAAGCCGTAGAATTGATATTATGAAAACTAGTCTTATATATAGTCTTGAACAACGAGTCGACAAATAAACTCATAACTTTTAACTTTAAATCTCAATTTTAAATTATAATGTTTTATAACCAAAAACACAAATTAAAAAAATTAGTTAGTGTAAAAAATTTAATGAGTAGTTTTAATAAACTTTTTTTTTGGAAACTTGCACTCGAGGACCATCACTGCTTTGGTTCTTCATCTAAAAAAAATCTAAATTTTCAAAACAAGATCATCGAGATTTTTCTGGGATCTGTTACCATTTTTTAATGAATCGATTAGTTTCAATCATTTTCTATCAGGGCTTGCCCTTGCTGTAATTAAAATTGTATTTGATTGCTTTAAATCAGATCATCGAGGCCCCCCTTGAATCTTCAAACTTTATCCTTGAATCTAAGTCCGAAATTTTTATTCAAACTTCTTACTTCTATTTAATTTTAAAAACTTATATAATCAAGGCTTTCCTGGGAAAACGTTTCAGTAAATTAAATTCCACCTCATAATACTGATTCTAACGATTTCAAACAACGATTTACTTTCCAACCCTCACTTACTACCTAAGGTTAATTGAAACTTTTCCGACACAAACTAACCATTCAAATTAAGCTAACTAAATAAGAACTTCGGTTACTCATCCTTCACTTGAACCCCAGCTCTTAATTGACCCAGGCCTGGAACAAATCTTAGTTCTAGTCAGAACCAAATAGTATCGAACGTTCTACTTGTGTTCTAATTGTTTCTGAACCTTGTGGAATGATTTACTAATCACCAACCCTCGATCTTGTATCGATCCTCCTTTAAGTAAAATTAAATTAACTTAGCTGTTTAGAACGCCACAATCGTTTGAGCGCAGTAAAAAAGCCACGACAATGCAACCCGAGGATTAGGATAAACAAAATAATGAAAAAGAAGGCTATAATATCTAAGCAGAACCATATTATAAAAACTCAATTTTCGGAGTCAAATCTAACGACTATACAAAAACTTGAAACCCTCAGAGACAAGTAACACGATAAAAATAAGCCAGTTGACGATCAACAAAACTTTTCCGAATCAAAAGCCACAACAGCGTCATCAATAAAAGGCAAACGTAGATTAAAAACTTTTATAGTCGAAAACTAGTAAGTTCATATAATTGGAATCAACCAATAAGAGACATTGAAAGCTACACATTAACTGTCATGCCACATAAGAAAACTCGTTACGACCAAAAAGTTGTCGATGACTGCACCCACCCTCACATTTTTCATTGAACCCACTGGCGAAGCGTCACAAGGATAAGTACAGTTTTGCCGCAATCTGATTAAAAATTATTTCAGAAACGAAATAACCCCTGTCATCAGGAATTCCAAGAAATAAAAATTTTAAAAAAATAGATATCAGATCACTACTTACCAAGTATAGGTAACATAACCCCATAATACGGCACCATGTTTAGACAATCAAGCGCCAACACATCGAAAACAAGCAGTTGTTATGGAATTTAGTTTCTCAAAATTTTTACAGAATATATCTAATTTATTTCAACATCAAAATTCATAAAGATTCATAAAGAGCAAACTCAATATTCACAAATGACGTCTTGGCAACTATCTACAGCTTTATTTCATTACTAGAAGTCGTTGAAACAGTTTATGCAACCCTAATCACAAACATCGCGACATGCAGCAGTAAGCACATAAAAAAATCTTTTTCCACGATTCTTAGATTCAGTTCGCAAAACACTCACTGATACAAAGACTTCACAATTAATAAAACTTGACTTACGAAGAATATTAGCATGGCTCATAATAGATTACTTTCAACACAAGCTAGAACTAAATGCACAATCTCGAAAAAAAAACTTCGCACACACTGTATCGAAAAAACATTTTTAGCAGATGCAACCAATTATGTATGGGACCCAGCATTGTATCAGGATACGTTCTTTAATATACCAAACGGTGTTTCCAGTGAAGCAACCCAAGATATCTCAGTACATAAAAAACAACCTAGGAGTAACTCCAATAATGGCGGATGTCTCACATTTAAACTACAATTAAATGTTTTATGATAGAACATTTAACAAAAGTTTTAAAAAATTTATGAATAAACAAACTATTATAAATGGAACTTAACGCTAAATCGTCAAGGTTTTCAAACAGCATCATATTTCATTAGTAAATAAATTGTTGAAATAATTCTGCAATAACACAATGAAGTATATCACAGATACTTCTTTTCCGCAAACAACAGTGCAATTAACGGTTAAACCAACTGTTTCCTAATTGTTCCTACATTGATTAGGAAACATACAGACCAATCATCCAAGAAAACAAAAAATACAAATGTAAAAAAAGGGTTTTGCAAACCACGATTGTGACTGTTTTTGCAAATAGAAAAATTGCTTTTCCATTAGCACGACCACCCGTAACAATTCACACCTAGAGTCAAGAACGTAACTACAATCATTAAACACCCAAAAACCCATCAACTCAATCGGTAACTTTTCTTGATAAATGAAAAAACTCAAACAGATCGCACTGGAAAATTTTCAATTTTTCAACAAAATCAACACTACGCAATCAATAAAGAAATTATTAAAATCCAATAACACCATTCAGCAGACGAAGAAGACTTTTATAAAAAGTCTTTATAAACAGCAAAACAACAATAATTAATTGAATTAGCAGTTGAACGACATATTTTAACCAGATGATATTTTTAAACCAAATGTTTTTGAAACCTATATCAATCCATCAAGACCACATAAAGTACAACAAAAGCTTCCTATAACACCGAATTTTGCACAAGCTAGTCATAACATACAATCACAAAATGCAACGCATACTCAAGGCTACCAACCAGAATCAATGAGAAACATAACTTAGCAGAAAACAATTCACAAATTTTACACAAAAATCTTTTTCAGCAGAAACACTTCAAATGACGATGAACCCATGCCTCATGGGTGGATCAACTATAACATCAAATAAACCACTAATGAGATTTATAGAAACAGACCCTGAAAACTCAGTTGAAAATTTCTTAAATGTTGTCACAGTCAATTTAATTTTGAACTGGTCTTGGATTCATAGACGCACTGCAATGATACAAATCACACTCGACGGAGCAGCCCAAAATTGTTTTTCAGACCTCACCATAAAAAATAAATCCGATTGGAAACGTTTCAAACAAGAATTCTTTGATTCAGAATGAAACAAACAACATCGAAGAGTTGTTTGCACCAAAAAAGTAGACTCCCGACTTAAACTATAAAACAACTCGCCTCAATAACAAAAACTTTAGTACTAAAAGCATATTCTCTGAATACAAATAATTATTAGAACCAAAAAATGACAGAACTTCGAATGACGAACTTAAAATGCATTAAGGTACACTAGCAAACAAAAGAAAACATCACAACCCTTTTCAACTCGCCAACCAGACGTAATTTTCCGTCAGCTCGTAGATAAAATAAAACAAACAGATATCACAACGAAGTTAGAAGAAACAGAAAAATTATAATTACAATGTGTCAATAATTTTCAGACAACTACGTCAAATATAAATGACATTCACGACTTTTATAGTGAGTTAGCAGAAACAACCACTCAAATTCTCATGATATACAAAACTAACCCAAATTTCAAAAAAAAAAATGGTTCGAACTACATGAGAAAGGAACCCGAAATCGTTTTAAAATTTTTTTTTTGAAAAAATTATTTAAAATTTATACAAAAAGAACCGAATTTGTTT